TCTTGGTAATTGTCTACAAAACAAATAAATATTAATTTCCCGGGTTTCTCTGTAATAATAATTCTACTACCATATTTTAACTTCAATCGTACTTTGAGAATTCGGTTATCTGAAGCTACATTTTTACAAACATTCTTCAATTCATCTAACGTAAACTGGCAGTCGTTACTATTTTCCAAAAATTCATAAATTTCCTCCCTTACTTTAGGGACGCCCAATTTTTTCGCCAGTATTAGATCTTAGAAAAGACTTGTAACAACTATCATAGTATTTATCATCAGCAGCTACTACATCATATTCAAAATAAATACTATCAACAACAGCTTTTGATGAGTCATCAGAACGATCTTTAGCTAATTTCAAAATAGATTCTTTAAATTTGGGTGTACTCTCAGCCTGTTCATTTGCTTCATCGCCACAAAATAAGCAGTTTTCTTTAAAACTAAAGCTGGATTCACTTACTCGTGCTCTAGTACGAGATGAACTTACTTTTGAAGTTTGCTGCGGCAATTGAAGTTTTTCGAGTGAATGATTTTCGGCAATCCACGTGGATAGTAACGGACTTTAGACCTCTCAAATATTCAGTAAACTCATCACTTCTCGCATCACTTGCAACGATTAAAGTTTGCATTCCACTATTAACCACAACAGTTTCACCTTCAGTCAAAAGCTTAGAGCAAATAAAGCAAAATTGCGATTTTTTTTTCAAATATTCATCACTAAAAACTCTTATAGTAGACGCTTGTAATGAATACGTATATTCATTCGAACAGAACGTTTAACACTTGTCGCAATTTTTGTTAATTCAATATTATATAATGACCGGACTATCATATCTTCTTTTTCTTCATTCGTGAAAGCCATTTTTCGCCAAAAATTCAATGACTTGTACAATAACAAAATGCATTGAGTGTTACAAATTGAAAGTCAAATTTAGAAACATCAAAGTCAAAGCTATTATGATAAATATTACTTTTTTTTCAATATCTTCAATTTTTCGAAAAAGAATGATAACTCATTATACATCATTGAAAGGGTAAAATCTGCTTCTATTCAAAACAGAAAGAATCCAATGTAGCGCCCAAAAGAAAAAATAAAGTTGATGATGGTGGCCGGAAGACGAAACGTCGGATAGCAAATCTGAAAACACCATTATGTAGCAGGGAAAAAGTGGCAATGTGGAAGTGCAATTTATTTTCGAAAAATAAAGCCAGAAAAAAATGAAATCGATTTTCCGAATTTTCTGTTTTTTCCGGATATCTCCGGGTATAATCGGAACTTCAGAAGTTTCTCAACGACATATTGTTAGTCAGGTAAACGCACAACTTTGCCCCAATTCAACCATCTTCATACCTCTCATATTTTCCGAGATCCCATTGGTGAGGATCGAATTTGAAACACCCTGTTTGCAAATATGTGCTCTCAGTTAATGGTTTGCGGATCCAGAAAGCTTTTGATGAATGTATAACTTCTTCATGAGTATAACAATTCAAAAAAATCAAGAAAAGATGTAATCACATTTTCTGTGAGTTGTGTAATATTACGAGACAAAATATGTTAATTTATGCATCATGAAGTGATTGAGATTTGTTTTGATTTGGCGAGATAATCAGTAAAATAAATCACAAAAGATAGTGTTTGAAATTTCATCAGACGAATGTCTCAACAAATCCTTAGTTATGACATGTTTTGATAAGCTCAATGCATAATTGATTGTTTCATTTATAAGTTAACAATACTTTTTTAAAGCAAACGAAATCAAGGTTGGTCAAAACATGATCTACATCGTCTTTAAGAAATATTGTTTTGCTATACGTTCTATAATTTATCGTGTATAGATAACCCCGGCGTATTTATCAAAAAAAAAAAATCCAATTCTGCGTTAGCAATATTCATCTTCACCTGACCTATACATAAAGTACAGGAGCGATTGATAAAAAAATGTTACTAATTTTCTGATGGAATATGATATTTCAGTTATAATAATAAATTCCGATTAACTCAAAGTGCAAAATGCGAGAGTTGTGACTGGTGAATTTGAGATGAACATCTATATGGTCCCTTGTCATCAATGACTGTTTTGAAATGCTATTCATCATCTCCTGTGCATTTTTGTTTTCATTTTTGATCAACTCGAATTCAATATTTTTCAGCACGGTCCTTTTGTGAGGAATTCACATCAGTATATCGTTGTTTCTGGAGAATTTGTTGATGAATGCATCGGAACACATGGCCCTGTTCAATGGCATCCCAGTTTTCTAGACCTCACTCCCCTTGATAACTTTGAAAACAATGTGAGCAACTCAGAAGTGGATATGGACAATAAAATTGCGTCTTCCTTTTGTTAACATTGATTAGAATGATTCAGTTCATTAACAGCTCATTAACAGCTGTTCAGTGGCATCCCAGCTTTCCAAATCTCACTCCCCTTGATAATATTGAAAACAATGTGAGCAACTCAGAAGTAGATATAAACAAAAAACATGGATTAGAATGATTCAGTTGATCTTCATCTCATATATATACCTTATTTCACCTTCTTTGACATTTTTCAGTTCAATAAAATCAACATGTTTCCGATAAAAAACTTCATCTAACAATGGATTCGTTTTCTGGTGACATCTCTACATTGTGAGGTTATATTCTAGCGATATCTCGAAAAAAAACAGCTCCGTCAATAAACAAAGTTTGTATAGAACAAAGTTTGTTTAAAACAAATGTTATTAAATTGAAAAGTGTCAAAGAAGATGGAATAAAATTTGCAATTTTTGCAATTTTTGGAACTTTGAAGGGGGTAACTCTGGAAATAAGGGTGAGCACTTTCAAATTCCTAATCTACATGTCAAAATACACAATTTTTTTTCAAAATCTAAGGGTTCAGCCTATCCGAAGTTTTATTTTATCAATTTTGGATCACTCAACCAATTTAGTGAATTTACGATGCGTCATTGAAGTAAGTATTCGAAGTATAATATCAGGACAAACAGTTGGATGAAAGTATTGCAAAGGTCATATTGAGTGCTTCAAGTACATAAAACCTTGAAAGTAACATTTGTTAAGTAGGAACTTTATGGAGGTTGTTTTGAATTCTACTTGAAAAACTGGTTTCTCTTACATTCACGTCAATAATGTATCATATCAATATTCGTTGATCTGTTTTTATATTTCGAAATTTCTTCCAGTCAGTAGTTGAAGGTGAGTTAGTACTAAATGTACAATGTTTTAATCCAGTAAATGACAAAAATATATCACACTATCAATCGTTTTATATAACTGAATCTACAGTTTGAAATATAAAATACTTTTCTTTGGAATGTAGTTACATCTCAGACAAGTACTACCCCTTTAGTTATAATGGAATCAGAACATAACCGGAAAGAAACAGTACAAAAGTTAAAAACATTTACTGAATAATTTGCCGTAGATTAGGAAATATACCAGTTACAAGTTGTGACAAATTTTAATATGAAACATTTTTCATGAAATTGAATTTATTTTTATTCCTTGAAAAGAAGTATTTCGATGAAAATAGCATATCGTTTGCAGGATAAATCTAAACGTACGAAAACCAAAAATCAATCAACAGGAAAAACGTATATAAGTTTTGAATTGAATAAGTCCTTCTGGATAACTACCTACTGTCCACTCTCCAATTCTTAGAATTATGGCACTTGAATTCGATTAAAATGCTTTCAAAAGTTGAGTTTTGACCTATAAATTATTGAAAATTGATTTTTAACAAGATTTTGTAAATATTATCGACAGTGAGCTGATAATTTTGTATGAAATGGTATTGTGACGCATTGTCAAAGTTTAACATACATTAGTGAAACGGTGATAGAACTGAAATTTTCAAAAATGATTTATCGAGTGAAAATCAAATCAATTGAAATTGTTTAGAAATTTGAGAACAAAGATCGGATGTTGACGATCATTTTATGGAAGCGCAGAAGGGCCACATATTTTTATTATTTGTTTTATGGAAATAACGACTTTGTAACTCGAAATTTGGACTTTAATCTCACTAAACCCGTAATTACGAAACCGCCGACGAGATGTCGTCGTCCTTACTCGAAAATTTTGACTTTGAACTTGACATTACGACTTTTGAAATTAAAGTAGGAATTTCGAGTTTCAAAGTCGTAATTTTTACAAAACAAATGAAAAAAATATGTGGCACTTTTGCGCTTTCGTATAATTTAAACTCGGATAGGATAATTTTTGGGAAGGTTTCTATAAACACATATTGATTGTTATCAAACTTTTAAATAATAAATAGTATCTTGAATAAAATAAAGCAACCATACAACAAAAATTTGTCAAACATTATTACTGAAAGGTATTATTCATGAGGTCATAAATCGCCAAGAAAACAACTGCTCTCAATTATTGGGTTTTATAGAGTTCTCTTTGACAGGATCATGCTTGTTTATTTATTTGTTTGGGTCAAATTTAGTAATTGAAGTTTGATCCCCTTCCTGTTGACAGATTGATCTGGAATTTGGTACACACATTTAATTTTGATGACAATACAATTTAACGAATTCTGCTGTACCCTTGTAAATCTAAGATGGCCGCAGCTATAAAATGGCGGATTAGATATTTTTTCACAACTAACTTAACTTGGATATCAAATGACAGGGCTTGACTAGTAGAATAGTAGTACACTTTGAAAAAGATGCAAATTCGAATTGGCCGCAGCTGCAAAATGGCGGATTACAAATTTTTTCACAAATACCTCAATATGAGTATTAAATGACAGGGCTTGACTAGTAGAATAGTAGAACACTTTGAAATAGATGCAAATTCAGGATGGCCGCAGCTACAAAATGGCGGATTACATGTTGTTTCACAGCTACCTCAATATGGGTATCATATAAGAGGGCTTTAATAGTAGAATAGTAGTATACTTTGGAAAAGATGCAAATTCAAGATGGTTGCGGCTACGAAATGGCGGATCACATATTTTTTCACAATTATCAATATGGGTATCAAATGATAAGGCTTGACTAGAAGAATAGTAGTAAATTCTGAAAAAGATGCAAATTCAAGATGGCCGCAGATACAAAATGGCGGATTACATATTACTTTGTAATACTAAGGCACTAAATGGACTGAACAGATTGGGAAGAATTAAGTAACAAAATTGGAAACTGAAAACTTGGAAATAAAATGAAGAAAACTACATCAAATGATAACATTTCGAATACTTTACCTGAAAATATTATCCTCTCAAACCGGTAACAGGAGATGACCGTTTGGTGAGAGTTGACCGTTTTTCGCTTGATTATGGGTTTCCATATGTTGCGTATCTCTACGTTAGTTTGGCTTAATGCGTCGGTGGACAACATATATGCAGCTTCTTTGAATTTCCTCCGAAACCAGTGTTCCTCCCTGTGGATGATCTCAGCTTGGGACCACTTGATGTTATGTGGTCCTCGCTGTGTGTGTTTCTTGTGTTCGGTAATGCGGACTTTTCAGTAATGACTACAATATGACTACCGTTAAGTTCAATAAATTCTTCCAACCAACTCGAAAAGTGTTGGAAGAAAACTGACATATTACCACTTGGCGATCTGTACAGCACAGCAATACTATAAGTTGAATGATGGAAATAAATATCGCCTGATAAAATCCAAAAATTCATATCAACAGTGAAGGACTTAATGTTTGTGAATTTCAACGAATCTTTCACAAACATTTGAGCACCCCCTGTATGTCTACTACTCGAGTTACACCGAGCCATTTTATTCCCCCTGTATATATAATTTATCATTATTGATTTCTTCAGTCACACATGTTTCTGCTAAACACATCACTGAAGGGTTGTATCTCATTATATAGTCCAATAGATCATCTTTATGTTTACAAAAACTAGATATATTCATACACGACAAAAACAGCTCCCTGTTACTCGGCAGTCATTTAGTGATAATATTATCATAATCAATTTTTCTCTGTATGGATTGAACAATTTTTTGATAGCATTTACAATTTTTGTCAGTGGCGGCGTGATCTTCCTGAAGGTTCATGTTGAGTTTATTATTGTTTGTTCGATTACCTGCGCAAATAATACATGCAGTATTTTCCTTGCAGTTTTTGGTCTCATGATTGAAACCACTACAGTTGAAACAACGCTTAACACCAAAGTATTCATATATTTTGCAAATATTCCATCCTACGTATGGTTGTCATCCATGGTTGTCATGTTTAATCAATAATTGGAATGTATTCGGATCAACTTCCGCAATCATGCTGAATTTACATTTTTTTCCTTTGGTACTGAATAAATATTGAAACTTGCAGTCCTCTTCTTGGGGTATTTTATTTTGCTGAATGATTTTGGCTAGTAGATTTTCAGGTTCTGATATCGGAGAGCACCTTGTATTATATCGAATGTTTCAGTTGTCAATCAACAACAAAGACATAATTTCATATTTCAAAACTCCTTTGACTTCTGTCGAAGAAGTAAAGAAATAAATGATCAAAAAGGAATAACTGCCAATATATTAGAATTTTTTTGTCGATTTCTGAAGACGGAGGCAGATTTTGGCATCCGAAACGTTAAGATGAGTATTGTATTATTTCTTAACAATTGTTTTGATAGACAAAATTGTTGAATACGACAAGTTACTGATAAAGAGAAGATTTTTCTTTGTGAAAAATACTTTGATTTTTACGCAGTAACTTATCGGGGTGAACTAAAAAATTTGCCCTTCTACACTTGTATAAAGTTCTCCATTATAATTTTTATATTTTTCAGATTGTGGAAGGTAACAAATACCCAGAAAAGATCGATAAAAAACTGATTTTCCTCCACAAAAAATGACTTTCGTTGGATTTTCAAATATTCCAACTTTTGAACGCGCCCTCGTAGTGGTAAAAGGGGCGCATTTACATATGAAAATTACCTTCTCATCACTGTTTTTCCGTACCGTTTTTCGGAGGCTGAACTTTTGTAGGTTCGTTTTATATCGTAGATGAGCAATAAGAAAGGTTTTTTAAATATTCCAACTGGGCCGCCAGCCCCGGGGGAAAAGAATCGTCCATAAAACAAAATTATCTTTCGATCACTGTTTTTATATTCATTATCAGCATTGCGCCTGTGCGGAGCTGGGGTAGGTTGCTACTAACAAATATGAAAGACTTGAGGAACAGGATTGTTCATGCTTTCTCAACAATTTAGCAAAAGTCATTGTTGAAGGCGATAAATAATGGAAGAACACGTCCGAAAATGTTCAGAAATGGAAGGATGTCAACTCGAACACTTACTGCGTGACTATATTTGTCATGTATTTGAATTATTCGAATTTTCGTAGTGATTATATTTGGATATTTTCATTGGCATTATTTGATTTTTATCTTATCAAAATGAATGTGGGCGATACAAACACTGGAAAAAATACAGGTCTGTTTTTGAAATTTTTGAAAACTCAACGATGGAGGTGACCCAAGTCAGATGACACCCCGTATAGTATATATACTGTTACGAACATATGCTGATAGCCGACATCAAGTGTAAATGCAAAGTGTGGTTACAAGTTTCAACTTTTGAGGGTTGTTTTTCGTAGGGGAGTGACATCTGGTTAACGTAAAAACATATTTCAACAGATTTTTTCAATTTTAGTGAATATGAAAACATACTAAAATCGTACTGAATTTCAATAAGAGTTAGAATATTGAATCATAAGTAAAATGGTCGAATAGAGAAAAAGTTGTACGGTCAAAAATCAGTACAGATTCAATGAAAGTAGGTATGTATAATTCATTGTACATAATTTGTAAAAATAATGTTATTGACGATCAATGAATTTAGAGGTAACCACAGTTGGTATCATCATTGAACAATCTTTCAGTTTAAAGAAATATTTCTATGCGTAATACTGGAATAATCACTGCTGACCGAAAATCATGACAATTTCATTATAAACAAACTTTGGGGCGTCTTTACCATACAAAAAATCAAGATGCCCCCACAACCTATCCGTTATTAACAATTTCTCTTGGCGATTAGGAAGTTCTTTGAAAAGCTTCTCAATATCTTCAGTTGCATACAGCATATCATTCTCAGAATATATAATATACACCGGCGCTGTGATTTTTTTCAGATCGTAATTCGGTGGTGAAGTTTGGCCATACTTTTTCATGTTTCCAGATGTCCCGTAGTCATAACGGCAAAATTTTTTCGATCTTATTTCCTGAATGAAATGCATAAATACTTTCATTCCAGTTCCTGCTGGCATGTGATCTAAAGGTACTCTGTTGAAATTCATCTGTTTCGGACTGAAGCCAACTAGCATGTAGAGAATATTCTGACAGAGAACATTTCCTATTATTGAGGGACACACTTCTTTAGCTATTGCTACTAAATCTCCACGATTTGGAAGAAGTTCATAAACTCCGGCTCGTCTGAATAATTCACTGAAATGTTTTTCTGAAGCTGCCAAAACACGTAAGATAGGGCTTTTCAAGTGGCTAAGGTAAACAATTGGGGCCAAACTGATGTGAGTTTTTATTTTTTTGTTATACTCCGGTTTCATTGAAGCCATCACATAGAATACTGTCGACCCCTGTGAATGCCCGACGTAGTAAACGCCGTCAGTTCCTGTTTTCTCCAAAATGTGATCTATTATCGATGGAATATCAAAGACACCCATTTCATGCCATGTGTAATCCCAGAACTCTACATCGGTGTCAGGATTGAGGATAGTGTGATTTCGTGAATAAGTGTTACCTCTTGTGTTGCCCAGCCACACATCGTATCCTTCGTCAGCCAGAATAAATCCTAATGCATTTTTGGGTCCGAAATATATCCAGTCAGAGGAAGAACCGGAAGCACCGTGTTGAAGATAAGCAACTTTTCCGTTTCTTCTACCATATTTTGCATGAGGTATTCTATGAATGTTCAAAATATACCCGTCTGGTGTTGTGACGTAAACATTTTCCACTGGATAATTTTCATCTTCAATCATGTCTATCGTGGACTTCCACCGAACTTTAGAAGGCGAGTGCTTGATGCCGCTGGAATGTGATTTACTTTTTCCACTAACAAATCGTGACATCACAATAGATAGAAGACCTATTAAAACTAAGTTGACGCTCTGCATTTTGATTCGACTGTAAGATAACAGAGGTAATAATTCCATAGAACTCTTGTCATACCAATTTATATTAGGTACCGAAAGGATAAATTACAATAATCGGCATGCAACCAAAGTTCAAAAATTAATGTACTTCTCTATTTGAAACGTGTAAGTTGAATGATGTTTTAATTAGCTCAATACAGGGTTATTCGAATTCGTGTCTACGTATAATATAATTTGTCTAAAGGGTGTCGTTTGGCTTAGAGCACCTTCAACTTTTCAATTTTAAGTACGAATATTTATTTTCATAGCAATTTCTAATTGATTGACTTGATAGTCTAGAAATGATTTTGAAATATTCCCGACAGTTTCAGTAATTTGGTCATTATCAAATAAACTACTGTTTTTCCATTATGGCCCTGAGAATCGCTTCAATAGAAAGAGTTCTCACCCTCCATGATCAATTCGTGAATAAACTTCATTACTGTCAGAAAGAGAATGGTAACAAATTTAAACATTTGCTGAAATGAACTGAAGTGGGATTCGATTCCCAAAAATGAAGAAAATGTTGGATGAACAATGAAAATACTTATCAAAGACTTTCCTTTCCATTTGGAAAAACATTTTTCATAAAAAAGTACTGAAAATTATACATTCTTACGTAAATTCTCTCTGACCTTGATATTTAGTACACTTTGTCGCTTGTTGCTCTGCCTGAATAGGTACATCTTTCATATCCTAAATGGTTAGCAAAGCAAAGTTCTGACAACAAGATAAACCGAATTTAGCTTTTTTGGTTCCAAAAGTATGTGTTCTTTCATTGAACCATTAGAATAGGATCTTCCAATAAAGACTTTTAAACTTTGACAATTGATAACGGCCATCTTGTTGAAGCTACATCTGTCAAATTAGATATCATTTATTCAGTCTGTATTACCAAATCGCTATGGACGTATATGTATAACATTCAACAGCACGTGGAAATGATAAAATTGTTTTATCAGAATAAGTGTTCTGTTCTGGCATAGTACCGCCCGCTTCGATCATTTTACGGTCGCCATAATCGTCCTAACGAGAGGACTATTCGCAATATGGTGGATAAATTGGCAACTTGGCGAATTTTGCGTTGTAACTTGGGCCTGCATCCGTACAAAATTCAAGTGACTCAGGAACTGAAGATAAACAACCATGGACAACGATGTGTGTTCGCTGAATGGGCTCTGGAGTAGAAGGAAACTGATCCTAAAATCATCATTAGGCCCCTTTTTTTCTGAATAGATACGCGAACAAACGAAATTGTTGAAATTGGGATGATATCCAAGAGCGTCCAATGCATCCCGAAAAAGTCACTGTTTGGTGTGGATTTTGGGCTGGCGGCTTCATTGGTCCATATTTCTTTGAGAACAACGTTGGGCGGACCTTCACTATCAACGGCGAGCACTATAGGTCGATGAATACCAACTCCTTTTGAGCTGAATTGGATGATGTGGACACCAACGACATGTGGATTCAACAGGACGGCGCTACATGCCACATAGCTCGTGCCACATTGGATATTCTATACGAGCGATTTGAGGGCATGGTCTTCTCATGTGGAGGTGAGATGATCATGCACCATCGAGATCCAGCGATTTGACTCCATTAAATTTTATCTTGTGGGGTTTTCTCAAGTCGCAGGTGTATGCGAACTAGCCACAAACCACAACGATCCTCGAAGCCAACATAACCAATGCAATCGGTCAAATTCAGCCTGGTTTATGCGCCAGTCATGGAAAATTTGTCGTTTCGGATGCGGTCCACCCAGAGAAACCGTGGCGGATATTTGTTATATTCCACACATAATGGTATCAATAGGTCTTTGAAACGAATAAAAAATGTTAATGATATCTCACACACACTTTGTTTTATTAAAAATTTAAAGATGGGAGTCGCTCAATGAAATACTCGTTAGAGGGTGACGTCTGACTTGGGCTACCATCAACAATGGAATTTTGAATATACGAACCATTATTTGTTGCAATCACTTTTTGATAAGAAATATACACTTTACAATACGAAATACCAGTTTGTTCGATATTTCTAAAAATTCCGTCAATTTCATAATCAACATTTTTTGTCTTATACAATACGAGCAATACAATGGTAATACTGTAGCTGAGTCTTAAAAAAATCCTCGGCATACTTTTTATCTTTGATAATCAGAATTAAAATCATTATTTCGATTATGCCTAATTGATTTATTATTAGTTTATTATTAGTTATTTCAAATTTCAACGGAGAATTGCAATTCGTATTTTTTAAAAATGATGAAATTGAATTTCTTTTGAACTAGGTTAAATTAGGTTAGGTTCAAAGTGAGTGGGTCTATTCGACCACCACCACCTGCAAGGATTTATTGTAGCTCACACTCGATCAAATAAACCCAGCTTCTTAACGAAGCCAATTAGTTTATATGATGAGTGATCTTTCAGGTCAGATGGTAAAAATACGGCTCTGCCGAACTCTAAAAATCTGATTCGGTCCCCAGCGGGGCAAGCACAAAGTATGTGCTCTGCTGTTTCATCATTTTCCAAACAGAGGCGACACACACTGTCTTCCGACAGTCCGAGTCTCTGCATATGATGATTCAAATGACAGTGACCTGTGAGAAGGTCTGTTAGACATCGTAGTTCATCCCTACTATAGTCCAACAACTGTTTGGTATCAAGCTTCGAAGGGTAAATGAACGCATTACAGTGAGCCTGGAAGATACTGCCATCCAGGTGTTCAAACTTTGTTTGGCAAAGCCTAAAGCGATGCTAATGACAGGTTCTGGTCCGATGAAGCTGCTTGCAACCCTCCTTTGCATGGGAGTCAGCAGCCAGGTCAGCTGCCTTCCAGGTCAGAATGGCTAGGAATCCAGACCAGAGACAATCTGTTAAGTCTTCCTATCGAGAAGAGTCGTTTTTGGTAATTTGCTCGGTAGGAGCCAAGAGCTTCCAACGCCGCTTGACTATCCGAGAATATTTTTATTCTTCCAATCTCTCCAATAGCGTGAATTTCTGCTTGAAATACAGTCGCATAGGTTCCTAGGCAGGTTGATATCTCTGTCCTGGGTCTGCGACAGAAAACCTCGACGAAGAAATAAAAAAAAATGACAGTGAAAGTCGATTCGAATAGGAATGTTTTAAAATAAATTATATGGACCCGTATCACGAATTGTGATATCATCAACTAGAACAATTAACAAACATGGCTAGTCTTCTTATTCCGACTGAAGAGACTACTAGGTAGCGAAACCCGTATTTAGTATGGTAATATGTGCAAAAATCATGAGAAATTTGAGAAAAAAGATCAGATGACGATCATTTTACGGGAGCGCAGAAGGGCCACATATTTTTATTATTTTTTTCTTGGAAATTACTACTTTGAAACGTAAAATTTGTATTTTCATCTCATTGTATCATTGATCTGAATGTCGATAATTTATGTGATGATGGACTAAAAGAATCCATAGGTATTGTACAGTCCGTGAAAGTATTTTTCTTACAGATGTTAAACTGTAATTTTTTATTGATTTTTGTAATAGTGGGATCCAGGAAGTTGATGCTGTTGTTTATCTTATCGTGGAGAGTGTTGAGGAAATTCAAGAACTGATCTATCTGTCTCATATAGCATTTATGATTCCGTCATCAGAGGAATGAAGAAGAAATGAAGATCATAAAGCAGATAACATATAACAACCACATTCCCTCCAACTTAATTGAACAACTGATCTCCAATAAGAACCAAAAATTGATCAAGAACGAACTATACCTAAATCATGAAGACCCTAAAGAAGCTAAGAAATATGCTAGCATAAGGCATAAAGAACTATTTTTCAAAACTTAACATAATTACATCATTCAATAACAAAATAATTTAGGGCACATGTTATTCAACGCAGAACCCAAAAGGGATAATTGGAAAAATCGTGCATATATAATAGGCTAGAATGTGGTGACTGTCCAGCAGCTTGTACAGGCAGAACTTTCCACATAAGTTACCAGGAGATTGTATTATGGGATAAAAATCACTATATATGGACATCTACAAGATTCCACTCATGTGTGCAGCTTCTGGAAGGTAAAATTTCCAAATTATATTTTCAGATGCGACTGTTTCTGAAATATCTTTCTGATCTAAGTTTTGAAACTATTCCTTGAGTTCACGTTCTGCTCCTACAAAATTAGTCCCGTTATCTATTATTATCTCCTTTGGCTGACCTCTTGTTCATATAAAACGTCGGGTAGAAAGTATATCAGATCTTGTGTCCAAAAATGCAGCGAGTTCAATATAGATTGCACGCAGGGTGAGACAGGTAAAGGGTATGCCTTATCATTCTTCTACTCTTCTACCTATTGCTACAGTCATGGGACCAAAAAAGTCAATTCCAACGTATGAAAACGGGAAAAAAATGTTCCTAAATGCTCGGGAAGCAACGAACCCGTTTCTGGGAAAATAGGTTTGCAATTCCGATTTTTACATTCCTGGCAATTACTAAAGCTCCTCTTCACAGCTACTCGTATGTTTGTATGTGTGAATTTGTGCTTTGGATCTGACTGAATAGGTTTCGCGATTCAAATGATATATCGAATTCTTTCGTATTTGTAATCCTACCGCCCAGGCGTAATATAAAATATTCGTTCAAGATGGTAGATAATCTATATATGCGACTTGACTTTGGTGAATATTGCTTTCTTTTCAAAATGTTATTTTCTTCTCCAAACGTTTCTTTCTGAAATTTTCTGATCCATAACTTCATGCAATATTCTATTTCATTTGCACATAAAATTAAGTCGGCGGCCTACACAGTTTGTAATCTGGACAACTTTTTTTAAAGAATCCAGACAGTAGATCGAGTGAGTCAATTGAATTTCGAGAATCTGGATATATTGGGGAAGTCCATCGGAAGAACTAGACATCTAAGGGTAGTATCAGATTGTATTCATTGGAGTAACGTGGCTCTTCTGTCTAATCAATTTCATAAAATGTGATCCAGAATATCACCAACCTCCTGGCAACGAATCGATATCTTTCCTTTCTTTCGTCGCCCGGTCTGCAACATTTAATTCAGATGGTACCCAAATCCATTGCGACAAATCAGAGTTTTCGTGAATTTTTCCAAGTCGCAAGCTACGCAAATCGGAAATCTTTTTGATTCAAACCTGATTTGTTGAATAAAAACCATTGAGTCAGTCCAGAAGTAAACTTTGTCAATTTCATATTCCAGTTCCTTCCGTATGAATTTTACCATTCTACATGCAAACACTGCTCCTTGTAATTCCAATTTCGAAATTGTTGTTTGTTGATTCATTGGAGTTTCTCGTTTGGTATTCGGAAATACGACCATATATCCTCAACAATGCAAGAATCAGGATGGTTAAATGTTGAGAAACTTTTCCTTCCTTCTTACCAACACACATAAAGTTTTGATAACTCGACAACATGATTACTTAATGAAGAAGCTTAAAACATTCTCTACGATAGCTTTACTACAAGAAACAGTTCATTTCTAGTCATCCCCAAACCCAAATCTTCCATCTTCACCCGCTGCTTCTCGTATAATGCACCCAAATATTATAATCAACTACCCAACGAATTTCGATCATACACCATCGTAAACTTTAAAAAAAGACTGAAGACTTATTAAACTCATTAGCCTCTTGTCCGATCCCGACCTTGGCATTTCTAAAAGGAATATTCTAAAGTAAAGCAATAACTAAATTTTTTTGATATCGTTAACTTGTGTTCATATTATTTAATTATAGTTTCTCCCAAGTTGAGTTGAAAAACAGCCTTGGCTGATACTCCAACTATTCAACATATACTGAAAGTTTGTTATTGTTTCTGTATACCGTTTTATTTTATTTTCGTCTATTCCATTTGTATTTTATGGTGAATGAAGACGTATTATTATTATTATTATCTAGTACATTGTAAAAGATATATTGTCAGCCAGCAGCTCAGAATTCACCAAATAATAAGATATGCTTTTACTGTGATTATTCTGTTTGTTCAGGCTCAACAAGTTATAGTTTAGCGATACTGGGATATTCTGCAATACCTCCTCAGAATATGTATACACTTTGTCCAAAGAATTACGTAGAATTTCAAAAGAGGAATGAAAAATTGAGTACATAACACTAAAAGTTATAAATCATTGAATGTAGCTATACTGACACAAATGTTACTTATAGTATTATTAAAAGTTATTGTGGATACATGATACCAAGGCGTTCAGAGAGTCGAAATGAATATCGCAATGTTCACAGATTTTCTTGAAGCTACTGCACATAAAATTCAATGGTGATCGTAGCGTAACGTTTGTGCGTGATGCTTCGCAATAGAATTTCAGGTTGTGTCGACCTTCACTTCTTGGTACTAAGAAATTGATCTCGGGTAAAAAAACCGTACTGTCAATATTGTTGTTCAGTAATTCATGCAGGAATTTTATACCAAGGATAACTCTCCAATTTTCCAAAGATGTCATATCAAATCGGGTCAACAAAATGTTATAATCGATGCCTCTCGTGGGGTATTGTCCATCAATTTTTAGATATACGTATTTTAGGAACTTCCTTTGCACGCTCTCAATTGATGTTTTTTGGTAGTCGTAAACTGGATTCCATAACACAGAGCCATACTTAGATCTGGCATAAGCAAAATATAGCAATTTTAAGGTGGCAATACTTTTGAAGCTTTTGCCATTTCTGTAAATGAATCCAAGCATCTTATTTGCATCAAGTCATATTCCTTATATGTGTTGTAAATGTTAATTTACTGTCGTTTGTTATACCAAGATCTTTTATCTCATGTACGCGGTTCATTGTAGTATTGTTGATTGAATAATCGTACATTAAAGTTTGCTTTTTTGTTGTAAATGATATTATTTTACATTTGGACACGTTCATTTATGATTATTATTACACCAAAGTTTGATTACATCTAATTCATGTTGTACACGTTGGCAGTCAGTAATGTCGTCGATTTTATAATATAGTTTCAGGTCATCTGCAAATAGGAATATTCAAAGAGGTTGCCAAGTTATTGATAAAAATTAAAAATAAAAGGTTCTGTTAACTAGATATGATTCAATTAGAGTAAGCAGTTGGTTAGAGAGTCCCAATTTTGTCAATTTGCTGAGAAAAACATAATGGTCTATTTGATCGAAGGCTTTTTGAAAGTCTAAATAAACAACATCGACTTGTTTTTGCTTGTCCAGGTATGCACAGAGATATTGATTTAAACATGCAAGATTTGTCATACATGATCTTTGTTTTACGAAACCATTCTGAGTAGGAGAAATAACTTTTTGAATATGGGAGTACATAACATTTTGCCCACATATCTCGAAGAGTTTAGAAAAGTTACATAAAATTGAAATTGCCCTGTAGTTTGTGATATCGCTAGAGTCGCCTTTTTTTAATATTGGACAAATTCGAGCCGTTTTCCACTGCTCAGGGAAGGCACAAGTTGTTAAAATTAAGTTGAATATGCTATTCATGTAGATCAGGAACAGAACTGGATCTAGTACCGTCCCCTGAAGTATCCCAATTTTCACTTCTCTGGCACTGCTGGTTTCATGATCTAGTTTAACTAGATCATAGTGATGCAATTTCTCCAAGAGCTTGTGATGTGATATGATTTGAAATCCCTGAAAAACAAATAAAATCGAAAGTTAAAATGAATAGCTAAAAATAACAATTATATTAAGCAAAAAACCCTGAAATGAAATCACTATGAAATAAAAATTAAAAATTGAACAATTGAAATGGAATGAAAATCAAAAGATTTCATGCCAAGTTACTTCACGACGTTTCGATCCACAATCATCTTTAGGTGATGAGTGTACTATTCTTCCGAGAGATGACTATTTATGGATCATTCGAGTGCTTTCACTTATGTCCTCTTCCCTCTGTCCGTTTCGCCGGTTCAGCGGAAGATGACCGTTTGGCAGGAATTGACCGTTTTCAGCTTGTTGGGTTTCTATATGTTGCGTATCTCTACGCTAGCTTGACTGAATGCATCGTTGGACAACATATATGCAGTTTCTTTAAATTTCCTCCCAAACCAGTGTTTTTCCCTGTGGATGATCTCAGCCTGGGACCACTTGATGTAATGTTGATGAGTCCAAACATACTCTGCTATTTCCGATTTGCTGGTTTCTCCTCGCTGTGTGTGTTTCTTGTGCTCAGCAATGTGGACTTTCAATGACCTCTTTGTTACACCGATATAGGATTTTCATTTTCTATTTCATTCGTCCTTTCAGGGATTTCGAATCATATTATATCACATTAGATAGAAGTCCGAACTAACAAAATTCACCTCGAAACATTGTGAACCACCTTTAAACAAAGGAGGGTAATTTCTTGAAAAAAAACTCGATCCAATGACAAACAATGAACATGTCTGGTCTCAGAAACAATGTTCGTCCTGGAGTGCGATTTTGATTTATTAATGTGTGAAGCGAAGTTATTGAAAATATATTTCTGGTTTATTCATTTTGAAGGAACGTTACTTGCAGTTCTCAAAGACCACCTTCACTGAATAACTTAGAGATATATCTCATAGGTAAGTTAAATGGAATTTGGTTTCAATATGATGGGGCTCTTCTCTATTGTGTGAAAGAGGTTTCCGGGTGGCACATTCAACAACAGATGGATCAAACAACGGATCAACAAAAAGGCCCGCAAGATCACCAGATATTGATATTTCAGATTACTTTCTATCGGGGACATTGAGGAATAGGGTTTATGCTGGAAGAGAAATAACCAATATCTTTAATGGTGGAAATCTCAAGTATCGGTCAGTTCTATCATATTTTTGAAATCTATACTCACTTGACACTCACTTAACACTCATTCATATCTGCTTTTCCGTACTGGTAAGTCCTAGGAAGCTAAAATTTGGTATACAGGTGCTTCTTAGGGCTTAGATGCACACTAAGAAAGAATTTTCAAATGTTTCAACTTTTAAATGCGCCCCTGTGGTGGTAAAAGGGGCGCATTTACATATGAAAATTACCTTTTATCACTGTTTCTCCGTACTGCTATATTTTCGGAGGCTGAACTTTTGTATGTGGGTTCGTTTTATGTCGTAGATGAACAATAAGAAAGGATTTTTAAATTATCTTTTGATCACTGTTTCTCCATGCCATTATATTTCCGGTGGATGATCTTTTATTCAGTATCAGTATTGCACCTGTGCGGAGCCGGGGTGAATTGCTACTAAAAATATGAAAGACTTGAGGAACAGAATTGTTCATGCTTTCCCAAAAATTTAGCAATGGTCATTGTTAAAGGCGATAAATAATATGAAAGAACTCGTTCTAAAGTGTCCAGAAATGGAATGATGTCAATTCGAACACTTATTGCGTCACTATATTTGTCATGTATTTGAAATATTCAAATTTTCGTAATAATTATATTCGGATATTTCCATTGGCATCATTAGTTTCTTATGTCAACAAAATTCATAAAATGTATTTCTGTTGTAGATTATCTTTCAGATATTTATAGAAAGTTGCATTGTGCATTGTGGAAAATATTCAAAGAGCACTGTAAAAGTGAAGAAAAATGAATTGGTATATGAAAAAAATGAACCCTTGTTGAAATACGCTATAGTACATGTTGAGACGTATCAACTTATTCAACCAATTTTCAGGGTCATACTTACTTATTAGTAAGTGAACGCCAGCGTTACAAAAACTGGAAAAAATACAGGTCTGTTTTTGGAATTTTTGAAAACTCACCGATAGGGGTGGCCCAAGTCAGATGACACCCCTCATAGTATATAAACTGTTACGAACATATGCTGATAGCCGACATCTAGTGTAAATCGCAAAGTGTGGTAACAAGTTACGACTTTTGAGGGTTGTCGTTCGTAGAGGTGACAAGGTGACAGCTGGTTGATGTAAAAACAAATTCCAACAGAATTTTTCAATTTTATTGAAACAATTTGTAAAAATGCTATTTACAATCAATGAAATTCAGAGGTGGCACAGTTGGTATCACCGAACAATTTTTTGTTCAAGAAAATTTTACCATGAGTAATACTGGAATAATCACTGTTGACTGAAAATCCTGACAATTTCATTATATACAAACTTTGGGGCATCTCTACCATACAAAAAATCAAGATGCCCCCACAACCTATCCGTTAATAACAATTTCTCTTGGGGATTAGGAAGTTCTTCGAAAAGCTCCTCAGTATCTTCAGTTGCATCTAACATATCATTCTCAGAATATATAATATACACCGGCGCTGTGATTTTCTTCAGATTGTAATTCGGTGGTGAAGTTTGGCCATACTTTTTCATGTTTCCAGATCTCCCGTAGTCATACTGGCAAAATTTCTTCGATTTTATTTCCTGAATGAAATGCATAAATACTTTCGTTCCAGTTCCTGCTGGCATGTGATCTAAAGGTACTCGGTTGAAATTCATCTGTTTCGGACTGAAGCCAACTAGCATGTAGAGAATATTCTGACAGAGAACATTTCCTATTATTGAGGGACACACCTCTTTAGCTATTGTTACTAAATCTCCACGATTTGGAAGAAGTTCATGAACTCCGGCTCGTCTAAATAATTCACTGAAAAGTTTTTCTGAAGCTGCCAAAACACGTACGATAGGGCTTTTCAAGTGGCTAAGGTAAACAATTGGGGCCAAGCTGATGTGAGTTTTTATTCTTTCATTATACTCTGGTTTCATTGAAGCCATCACATAGAATACTGTTGACCCCTGTGAATGCCCGACGTAATGAACGCCGTCAGTACCTGTTTTCTCCAAAATGTGATCTATTATCGTTGGAATATCATAGACACCCATTTCATGCAATGTGTAATCCCAGAACTCTACATCGGTGTCAGGATTAAGGATAGTGTGATTTCGTGAATATGTATTACCTCTTGTGTTGCCCATCCACACATCGTATCCTTCGTCAGCCAGAATATATCCTAATGAATTTTTTGGTCCAAAATGTATCCAGTCAGAGGAAGAACAGAAAGCACCGTGTTGAAGATAAGCTTAGAAAAACTGCTGATATTGATTTCTTGCGATGTTGAATAGCCTTGTGATGTATTTGAACTATCTAAGTTGACAATTTCATGGGCATTAACATTCAATTCTTGAAGTGAAGAGGACGATACTGTAACACTGGAGTTATCTATTGGAATTATTCTTTCAGCAATAGCTTCTTTATAAGAAACTAGTACTATGTTGCTGTATCGCTGTTGACATAATCAGAATCAACGAACTTAGGCGTGCGCAGCGTTATAGAACATTGCTTCCAAAAAATTGTTCTACAGTGGCTAGTGTTCTAGTGGCTAGTTACAGAAAAATTGATAGCCTAGAAACCTTCTCTATGAAAAATTACTTATACATGTCAAGTTTCATCACGATCGGTTGAGCGATGTAGAAGTTTATCACTTACCAACCAACCAACCACCAAATATTCATTTTTATATATTAGATAGATTGATCGGTGTAACCCTCAGCTACTGTTATACACTTCCATCCTCCGTGCTTCTTAATATTCGTTATATGTGCTCCTGATTCTGCTAGCAAAGAGGCAGAAGACCTTCTGAATCAGTGACCTGTATATTCCTCTGGTTTTGGGAAGTTCAGAAACTCAGCAATAGTAGAGGGCATTTTCTCAAACGTGTTTATACCAACTGGGTTGGCACTGCATTTAAAATTTGAGTATTTCAGAAAAAAAAGATGATGATTAATAACAGAAATGCGTAATGCAACGTTTTTATTAAAACAGTCAATTTTTTTTCTAACAATGCAAAAAGAAGGACCTATTTTCGTTTTTGTATTTGGAATTTGAACAATTAATGATTTATTCATTAATTTAATGTCTTCGTTTAACAAATGGCACAGCTCTTCACGCCGGCAGGCTCCATATATTCGGAAAATAGTAGCAACATTTATCAAATATTTTTCATCTGGCGCCTCTGGACTCATTAAAACGTAAGAGTTTTTGATTTTTTGGGCCTACAACTTTCATTTTTCCACTTTAAGAATGCTATTACCTTCCCTATTACCACCATTTTTAACGAGCGCACTACACTTTATCATTGAAAACTTGCTCAGGTGCTGTGATTGTCGGTTGTCTTCTTGCGGTTGAGACCCAAAATCGGTCTTGAACTGCAGTTGTAGCGCGTCCTCGCCCTGGATGTTGTTCGGGTGGACTGCCAGTTTCACGGAAACGCCGCCACAATCGACTGATAACACTTTGGGAGACCCCCAAACGAAGAGCTACATCATTTTGTCGCATGCCACCTTGAAGAAGCCCTACAG